ATACAGAGTAAGATCACGGTATTTGGAAAGAAGGTCATGCTGTGTTTAGCATGGCAAAAGATGAATGGTGCTAATCTAAAACTGTCTTAAAACTTTCCCAAATACGACTAAAAATGGTTATTGGTATCCAATTTACATTGACTTATCGTTTCTGTTCCGGTGATATATTGCTATATTTATGGATAGCATGGATGAATGTGTGTATAAGCATTATTGGCAAATATTTATAGCGCGATGTACGGTGTTCGGGCACGCATGTGTAACCCGTGGCACGTGAGGGTGTTTGTTTTGAATTATGTTTATATCTTCTTTGATTTCTTTCTGTCGACGCAATTCCGCATACAATTTCCATTCCAAAGCAATCCAATGACTTCATTTCCATCGATTTTCATCGATTGCATATCGATAAAATTTAATACATTTTTCTTCGATTGCAGCACGGCAATCACGATTCGTCAATGTGAATAACATCATTAAGACATCATTTGCTTAATTGCAACAAATGAAATAACAAACTGTCAATCTTGTTAAGGCTGAGTGTTTATAAAAAGTGGCTACACCGATTTACATTTGATTGAATACATTTTGAGACATTCAACTACTACTAATATACAAATACGAAATAAAATAAAATATCAATTTAATCACTTAGTAAAATTCAAAATGTAATGTTTTGGGAAGCATATATCTATATTATGTATGCCATATCCGATCATCAACCGTGCACAACTAAAATTGATACCATTGCCACCTGAGTCCAACCGGGTCCTTTTGCGCTCCGTTCCTGGTATGATTTGGCTCTTCTGTGTTAATGTGTATGTGTTTTTGTGTTTGCACACCACTCGACTTTGATTACTCACATTGAGGCTTTCATTTCAGAGAGCAACCATAAACATTTCGTCCAAAAAATAAAGCCAACGTAAAACTAAATACCAGATTGCATTCATGCAAATAATATTATGGCATGTGTGTGTGTGTATGTGTTGTGTCGCTTCGAATTAGATGAAATGATTTTATGTATGTATGTGGTGTGTGTGTGTGTGTGTGTGTGTGTATTGTGTATGTATTATTATATTAGTACTCATATTATTATGATACAATGCACACGCTTCCGACAAACGCAAATGCTTTTGAAATATATTGCATGCACAAATATAAATTCGTGTACGGCTATGAAATACATCACAAACAATCATAATAAGTGGGTCGGTAAATCTTGTACAAAGTTGTTTGCACAGGTGTATCTCAAATGATCTCTCTTTCTATCGTTCTCAATTTTGTTTGCTTTAATGCGGCCGGAAATTTTGGCCTCCAACAAACACACACATACACATGCTCATACTCGCTCTCTCTCTATCTCTTTCACACCTTTTCTTTCTTCCACACACTCACGTAAAGATAAATTGATATGGTATAGCATCGTTTATTTGCTTGATGGAAAAAAGGGAATGAACAGTTTCTTTTAAAATAACGACCAATAACTGTGTGCAATTTTACGCTTTTCTTGTACTACATTCTATCAGTAGCACTTTACCATTTCCTCTCATTCTCGTTGCCCATTTTCACTCGTTCCGTTCGTTTGAATTCGTTTCGGCATTGAGAAAAACAACACACCGAAGTAAGTGATTTCTGGCAAACGTTTTGCTTTTATAAAGTGCCATTGCATACATAATACAAAGGTTTTTTTTATTGAGCTTTATCAGCGTTATCAACATTTGGTTGTTGTATCGGAGAGGGGGAAGGTTCATGATGAATGTAAAAATCAACGCCGATCATCACAACGGATAAGTCCGTGTGTTTCGAATGGTAAAAATATGGCCGTAAACAATGCGTCGAACTGAAGCAATATTAAACAGCCGCAACAACGGGACATAGAAGGTCAGTTAAAACATCAGCATGACATAAAATTCTGAATAGCTTGGTTGGTTGGGTGATAATGCTTACAGTAAAATGTCTGTGTGAGTATCGGCGAAAACAGTAAACAAAAAAAAGGAACCAACAACCAAAAGAAAATTCTCTGCCACCGTTCAACATGCTGCTATTGAAATGGCCATCATCAACAGCATTTTGCACATAATTCGTTCGTCCAGTACATCTATGGCTATTAGCGAGACACAATATTCGGTGCACAAGATAATATATATATATATATAGGTATATATGGAGCGTTTATTTTCGTCGCACTTGTCTCATTGGGAATTGAACGCGTATTATTCCTTCTGGCTACATTCTGATAAGAAATACGTGACAGAGTTTTTAAATGTTCTATTTAACAATCATCAGTCAAATGCACACACACACACACACACTACTTGCGGCACATCGCGAAAATCGTTGCCATCACAAAACAATAGCGTAAACTGTTTATTGAGAGGATGAAATGCACAATGAAAATCGCACACGCTCACTTGACGCACCAAGGTGAAACGACAACAACAACAGAAAATGACGATTGTGCGAGTTCAGCGTATACTCGCAAAATGAGATACACTTTATTATCCATGCAATAGCACATGAAATGCGATAATTATGTTAAATGTTGTTTATTTAATTTTAAATAAGATGATTAACCATTTTTTCGTTCGCTATCTTTCTCATATTGTCGCGCTTCTTCATCTCTTTTGGTGGCTAACAGTTCAAGAGTCAAACAGGAGTTTATCTATGCTTTTGACAAGAAGTTTTGTTGTTATTTGTGACCCCCTGTGAGTCTCAATGTGCATTGATGTGCGGTGCTCGGATACGTAATCAAGATGAGCAAAATAAGGAAAATCATGAAAATTCATAATATAAAAAAAATTAATGTATGCACAATGACACGAAAAACCGCTTGCACACACACATTTTATATTACAATTTGACTTCGAACGAAGTGTATTGAGCGCGTAACGCGCTATTTTTCACATCATGCCAATTCAATTGTGTATTTTGCCAATATGAATCTGGTGGGTCCAATTAAATTTACCTTTTACGTCTCCGTCCTGTTCCTGTCTTCATTTACACACAACACACATGCGTACAATGCAAAGATAGTAATAACCGAAAGCTCTGCAAACGTATAATGTACAAAATGCAAATTTTTCATCGTTTGCCAATGGCACTTTCATATTCTTTCGTCTCTTCCTCTGACTTTCTATATCATTCTTTGTTATTCGTTTTTCGCTCTTATTTCACACGCTTTTTTTTCTGCTCGAACCGATTAGATCCGCACAATTTTTCTTCTTCATATACCTACTTAAATGTATCATTGTCCTTGTTGTAAAAATATTATGCTCGATAAGGGAGTAAAAAAAAGGCGAACTGACAAAAGATGGTGTGCTGATAGAATTAGAGCGAATCTAATTTCCTTTTATTTCAGTGCGATTAATTTTATCATCAAAAAGTGCATGCAAAAATGAAAAAAAAAAATGGAGAAGAAAAGAATAAAAAGAGAAACGCATGCACACAAAGCGAGAAATGGAAACAATGAAAATGAACAAGGAAGTTATGGGCAATAAACGGGATCTTCTGCTGAAATATTATTTCGGGATTTTATATGTTACAAATTTCTTGAAACTAAACCAAATTCGATGTGTTGTGCTGAAATAAAATGCGGGCGCACGCCCGCGAATGCCAGCCAGTGAGTGTGTGTGTGAGAGAGAGAGAGAGAGAGAGAGAGCTGTAACGTTTAAGAATGTGCTTTGCGCTTGAAATTTAAACATTTTACACATTATAAAAATACATTTTCACATCTTCTTCTGCAGTTGAAAGGAAATGCAAAGCGAATGTGTTGCAGTGTTTGCAACAATGTGATAGAACTCAGCGCGCACACCAGCATTGAAAATTGTTTTTTCTTTCTCTTTTCTTCCATTCTTTTTGTCCTTTTTATTCAGTTTTATTCGTTCGTTTTCTTTGGTCGTCTCTGCGGCGCGTTCGTCTTCCGCCGCCACGGCATTATTATTCGTTCCTATTATTTATCGTTTTGCATAAAATGAGAAACTATAATAACCAGTAAAAAGAAAATGGATTGAATGAGTGAGTACGAAGTAAAAGTATTTCATACATTCATTTTTTTTTCTTCTCGCGCTGCTCTTTGCACAGTTCTCTATGCAATATGATGATTTTCTTGGCTGCGTCGAATCACTTGCATCTTACGATGTTCGAATGTTAAATATCACATTGCATAGTTAAATGTTGGCGATGAATTCATGAATTGTGAAAACGGTAAAAGCGCATTAAATTGAAATTGAATATCGATATATATATCGTTCATTTGCTCGCAACATATCACCCAATGGGGGACATACGAAATGGAATTTTAATGCAATAGAATATCATATAAACGAATGGAAATAATTTATGTTCTACCCTTTGGCAATTCAAGCCACAACCGACATGATTCGTATTCGTAATGTGTGTTTGTATGTATACACGTGTTCTGTTTGTTTTGTTCGTATTTCATCTTCTTCTTTTTTCTCTCTTTCCCTCTTATTGATTTTTCGCATCAAACGGATGTTACCATACATTATATAATCCGTGGGTGAATATTTTTTTTGTGCTTCATTGTCTGGGCGAAGAAAAAAAGTAGTGACCATTTCATTCATCATTTCATGCGTAATTTAAATATGAAATGTGTCTTATGAAAATTCTTCGGAAAAAGCATTTGCATTTGATGTATTTAACTTAAGCAATTTCACCAACATGCATCTTGGAAAAATCAATGAAATTCGAATGGTTCGAAATGTAGACGTTTGAATTCCATTTTTTTCGCAATCGTAAAATCTTCGTTCGGGTTTTTTTTTCAACAGAAATAAAAACATTGAATTACATCTATACCATTAGAACCCAAAATATATACAATATATTCTATATAATAATATTTCTTTTTGTGAATCTCACTTTATTTTTCTATTATCAATTCAATTTGAATCTATTATTTAAATTTTATTTAAAATCTTTTTCCATCTTGAATTATATATAACGCGTATTGGTTTGAATGTTAATGCCATTGTGTGTGTTCACAGTTTTGATGTTCGTGGACGATCGTTTGCCAAAGCACTACTGTGGTCCGATACCAATTCCTTTGGGTCCCGAGCGTATTTTCTAACAGTGTCCCGACCAGCCGGTCTCAACGTAGACAACGTTCACTTGGACGATGAAGGGGTAAGTGTTATTTATTCAGTTCTTTTCTGTATGTATATATGCCATATAGGTTCAAACACATTCAACTCATTAATGTGCGGAATAATTCATTTCAGGTGTATCGTTGTCGAGTTGATTTTCAAAATTCACCAACCAAAAATCATCGCATCAATTTAACAGTGACGGGTAAGTTCAAATTTTCATTTTCTGTTCAATGAAATTTAAAAGAAAAAAAATACAAAGGAATTTCAAGCCAAAAAGCAAGCTTCTTTTTCACATATCTTCACGAGTTCAAAATAGACAACAGTCAATTCAATCCGAATCTCTTTTAGTCAAATAAATATGGCAATCTATCTTTATGAATTTCAATCAATTTTGAGCTTTTTCATATATTTTTTTCGCGCACACCTGTGTATTTGTACACAAAAATGAGCCAAAATGTTGAACACCTCCGCAAAATTACTATTTACATGTCAGGAAACACAAATGAATCGTTTTTAAATTGGGTTGTTGTGAATCTGTCTGTCAGATTCTGTCACGTATTGTAGGTATTAGTTTTGAATCGTAATGAAGCTGAAAATGTGACTGCGATGCATAATCGATCAGCGCATCATGTTGACAATATTCTAATGAATAGAATTTATTGTGCTTTGTATTTTATAAATTGTACAGTTGTCTGATTTGACAATGCGTTTGATCGCTCAGCTCTTTCATTCACTTTATACTATGTTTGCATAGTCGGCTAAACCGACATAATGTATTTATTCACCGTTATATATTTCAAATCATTACCAATTAATTCCATTTTAATAATTTTATGGTCCCAATTACCTTATTATTATTAAGAACCTAATTACGAATCCGCTCAATTTTCATTCAAAATTTAAATTTCTTGATGTTATTAGTTAAAATAATTTTAAAATTTAAACTTTACAAATTCGTATTTGAGAGAATTTCAATGGGAGAGTCAAACCATTCTGCTCTTTTGATACCAGAAGAAATCAGAGTTTGACTCCGCTTTGAACTTATCTAAATCATTGAATACCTATTTTATTGAACTCTTTGGAAAATTCATAGAAATATTCGGTTCTAGATTTTTTTTTATTAGAAAATATTTTCATCGTCCATAGTTTGTGCCATCAGTCGATTTTCTAATATTGAATTGGAAATTGTTTTCTTTCGATATTCTCAATGTTAAGATATTATAATCTCAGACAATATATTTGGATTTTGTCATCTGGATAACGTTAGGCGATGATACGAAATGAAAACAATCGAAGTGATTGTTATGGTTATGGTAGTATTTTTAAACCTATACAATACATCCATATCATCGCCTAATGTTATCCAGATGACAAAATCCAAATATATTGTCTGATGAAGAGGCGAAGTTGGCAAAATTTTCAATTTATATTAACGTGGCTTTAACATGACTTGAATGCATTGTGTAAGACTAATCTGTTTATTGATTCGGAAGAAATTACTTTACACAACCCAAAAGAAAGCGAAACAAAACGGATTGAAGCATAATATGGATAGATTGTGATAGACTGTGCAATATTGTTATGCATGCACTTATAAAGCTATTTGAGACTATGGCGATTCGGTATCCTCGTAGAATCGGTTGTTCGAAAAATAATAAGAATCGAAAAAGGTACAGTTGATTTTGGAAACTTATAATATGGTCTGTCTGTTAGACAAGTTAAACTTTTTCGGTGAGTCCATTAGTTTTTGAGTAATTGTGCACAAGAAATCGATGTAAATCACTTGTTAACTTCAAAATGAAATGTTCACAAAATTGAACTTATTTATATACACGTCTATCTTCATTGGATTTATTTGAATAATCGTCCATTTCCGAATAACAACAACAAGACAAAAATTTATTAAACAAACGAAAATGCAATCGCATTCAAAGTAAACGAAACTGAATTAAACAACACAAAGTGGCCGCAACAAGTTCAAATACTTGGCTTTATAATATGCTTTTATAAGAAAGTGTTTGGCATGTTCTTATCAACGCAATAGGTAGTGAGGAGTTGAGTGCAACGCATAAGAGAATTTCATTGAAAACGCTCAACTCCATATTTTTGTTCTAATTTCATTTTCTATTCTATATTTATTCAATATGCTTTTTGCCGTAAATTTTATAGTGTTTTTCTATCGCATTTCGATGAAATTCCACAATGGACAAAACCAATGTAAAGATTGTGGTGTCGTTTGTTTTTCACCTAACTTTACGCCACAGCGGCATGTTTGTTATTGCACGCTGTTAACGTTGTTTCTTCTTCTTCTTCTTCTTTTTTCGTCTATCACATTTGATGTATTTTGTTTGATATATTCAACACTGTTTGCGATTGTTGTGTTTTTTTTTATTTGCGCAATATTTTTATTGGGCCAGTGTTGACAGTGCTGAAATGTGGATTCATGTTAGGGAATAAGCTGCGGCTCCTTCGATAAACAACAAACAATAACATTAGACACAGAATATCAAAGCACGCATCACTTGCGTATATATATAAAAAATAATACAGAGAAGTGAGATAAAGAATAACAACAAAAAAAAACGCCATCACCAAGGGCAAAAACTATTTGACTAACAGTGGGAAAGAGCGAAAATTGTTTTATGCTTCGAATAAATGCTTTTAGAACAACCGTGGGAGAGACAAGAAAACATGGATAAAAGCGAGAATGTAAAGCCATGCACCGATGATGTTTTTGCAACAACTATTGAGTTGAGTGTGAAACAACGCGGATCCGAAAATATGGAGCATTTGTTTTATCTCGTGTATACACAACATATTTCACTTTAGTTGTTGATTCACTTAATTTTTTTTTTATCTTCTTCTTCTCATGTTTGATAGTGTGAACGACTGAACGTAGTGTCAAAACGAATATAATAAATAAGTACATCACGTTCAATCTAATAATTTTTTTCTCTTCTTATCTGTGCTGGGTCTTTCGTTTGTACACGATCCAAACAAACTCATGATAACGACAAATCGGCTGGCTTACCAATGCCATGTTGGCATATACACACACACATAAATATTTACTTCAACCAAGTGGCAGTTAGATTTTTAAGGCGCTGCCACAAGTTTATGAATAGACTTACTTGACGAAGTGAACAATCGATGGATAATTTATGGTCCAGATATGACCAACCAGTTGCGACGCCGATTATGGATAGAAAAATACATTCGAAGCCCGAAGAATATAGAAAAATATTGGCAAGCACACATCATTTTTTTAGTCGCAGAAGCATCTTGGCGCAAAAGTCAAGTGCTGCAACGGAGAAAAAAAAACGAAGACCAAAAAATAGAGAGTTTAAAGGAGGAACAAATAGGATCCATCGTCGATGATGTTGGAAAGTAAAACGTACCTGTGCACTTACCTACATACATAAAAATGATGTAACGTCAAGAATATTGTGCAACATTTTACGCTTCATCAAATGAGCACAACGTAAACGTTTTTTGCCACTTTGACTTGTATTTGTATACACGTTCCATCAACGAAACTGAAACAAAAAAAAAAAACAAAACTTGGTTAATCAACCAATTTCAAAAAATAATCGAAATATGCAAATTTTCGACAAAGTTTATTTGAATGAATGACGATTTTTGTTCAATAATGTTTTTCGGGGAAAGGATAACCATTGATACGACCTTTCACTTTGGAGTTTTTATGCGATTCCATTTGAAAATATAGTTCGTTGTCATTCATATATTTCCTCCATTTCTTGAAAAAAAAAATTTCAATTGATACTTCGTTTTTCTATTGGCCTTACCTTCCGTTTATTCACGCGTACCTTCTGTTTTCTTCATATTCACTTGTTCGCAAAAAAGTGTGATTTGGATAGAATATATTCGGTTCATTATTATATTGCTTGTGTTACTTTAACGCTATGTGCACACTAAGCGTGCAATATGACAGACAGAGTGGAAGTACATATATGGAGAGAGATGGAGTATTGTGCTTTGCTGAACTGTGGATAGAATTGTTGACTGAATGTGATTGAATAAAGTCAATACACTATGAAAATGGACCCTGAGGTGATGGTGTCGTGTGGAACGAAACGTTAAAAGAATATATATAATTCAACACAATATAAAACATCTCTTCTGCTACTGCTTACCTTCAAATATTTCTGCCAGAAAATAGCACTACAAAAGTAATAGAATGCACACAACATCTTAACAATAATATAATTTTACAATGTATACTCGAAGCAGCATTTTCCATACACTCTTCGGTAACGGATAAATAAGAAGAGGATGGAAAAACGTAAAACACTTTTGAGATTTATGCTTGGTTGTTAAAATTTCCTTTTTCTCTTTGCTCATCAAGAAAAGGAGAAAATTTTACCATATAGGCACCAGGCTTCAAAAATCGTGTGCTGTTTCTACAAAAAGCATATGTTTCTACTTTGCATGTGCCTGAGATGTATGTATGCGAGACAAGTTTTGAGAGCTTGAACGAGATAGTAAAAGCGCGGTGATGCACAGCATTGGAATGTGCTGCATATACAAAGACTGTCAATGTGCATCTTACGAAACTGGTATGCCTCATGATTTCATTTGAAATGAGTGGATGCGCACTGACGTATATGATTATGTGAATGTTTTTAATGCGAATATTTTTCTGTGCAAACGTCAACAACAATAGCAATGATGTCGACAACAACAATAATATTGTGAACAACTACTCCAATTATGTGTTTACAAACACACACTCAACATCACATATACAACTTTTTGCCATCGAATTTCTATGGCCTTTTGCAACCGGTGAAAGTAGCTAACAAGGACTGCATACACACATGGAGAGGAAACGTGTAGAAAGAGAGGGCAGAGAGAAAATCAACAAGCATACTTGAACTTTTCGCACCCCGAAAAACGTGCTCAGACATTTGTTATATTTACATTGATGATCAATTTTCGTGTGAAACACTTTTCGACATGTCGAAACGATGCGGTAAAAATACAGAAAATGCTCAATTTTATTGAAGGCACTTTGTGTGTGTGTGTGCGGTGCTACAAGCGCATGTATCGTTGACAATACATGGAGTTATTAAGTAATTACAAAAGTCGAAAAGCATACAATATACAAAATGTATATGTTATCGCAGCTCTCAATCGTTGTACAATTTAATTAATTATACACTCTTCATAAATAGGTAATTG